AATTTTGTTGTAATTGTAATTATCTTTGATTATTCTGGATCTAATATTAAATTCCAAATTGAATTTATATGTGAATTTGCAATATATTTCCAATCTAATTCTAGATTGAATATATTTGAATTCTATTTATTGGAATTCAAATTGAATTTGCAATTTTTATTAAAGTGAATTATGTATAACGTAATTTCTATTAATTAATTCTAGGTTAAATATCTTTAATTCAGTTCTTCCTTAGGTCTAGATCAATTTCAATTTGAATAATGGATTTTGATTTAGTATTATTCATTCAATTCTAATTTAATTCCAATCTATTTCTCATTTAATTCTATTTCATGTTGTTTTGCATTAAACATTGTAATTTTGTCTATTTCAATTTCCAATTGATTTGTTAATGATTTCTAATGTTAACGTCTTTATATAACTTAAATTCAATTGATCTATATATCTAATTGTTTAACTTGATTCCAATTCAATGCAAATGGAATTCTAATTGAGTTTTGCTTCCATTCTAGAGAATGAATATGATTGGTGGTATGAATATATTTCATTAAGGAAAGAATATACTTCCATATTGGAAAATTTTCATAAAAATCTTTTATGTTCAAAGCAAGATCAATTCCCTAGAAATAAATGCGAATTTCATAAAATCCAAATTTTTATTCAACACGAATGAAATATTAGAATTGAATCTGAACTATATAATAATGAAATTAAAGGTAAAATCGAATTATAATTTGGCTTGCATTGAATCCCAATGAAGGAAATTTGAAGCAAAATAGAATTGAAATATATTTGAAATAGAATTGAACCTGAATTTACATATAGATTTGAATTTGAATTGAATAAGAATTAAATTAGAATTTAGTTATTTAGGATTTATAACTATTTGCCTTCTAATTCTGATGTATTTACCCAACTGCATTTAATAAGAGCAATACAATTCCCACTCTAAAAGAAAGAAATATGATTTTGCATGGGGACTATTTGGTAAACACCTAGCTTATGGATTTATTTATCTTTATAATTCATAATTGAATGAATAAATATGTTTACCAATTGCATATAGAGCAGGAAATTTACAAATTTCACAACCCTTTTAAAAAGATATCATTCACCATAAAGAACAAAACCTTACAAAAGAACAACTTTCACAAGCCTATCAATGCAAGAGAGATTGCTTGTTTATATTGTAATTTTCAGCATTTCAGCAGCAGATAGAAGGCTTTGAAGCAGAGAGTGCAAAAAACTCCGCGAAATTCATATAGAACCCTTCAAAACCTTGCAAAATCAAAACTTTCACATCCCCCCCCTCACCCCCCGCTCTCTATACGTAACATTGATACAACTCTTGTCGGTTTACAGTATCAGTAATTGAAATTGCGTGTTTATATACATGTTGTTTATACATACCATGTGTATATATATATATGTGTGTGTGTGTGTGCTGTGAACGATTGAACCACTTGACCGTGCGAACACCACCAGGGTGATCATGCGTTCTTTCCATAGGCATGGAGGCCCAGGAAGCCTAGCGAGGCAGGAATCGGGACATCCGTGCCACGATCGTCAGGAGCGCCTTTCAGAAAGAAGAGCGGATTCACAGCAGTTGGCTGATGAGACAAGTGACTCCTACATTGATTGAATCACACTGGAGGAGAAGAACAGAGTGATCATGGATGGCGACAACAGCCTCGAAGGTCGGTGTCCAAAGTGTCGGAATCGATCCGGACGGGGTTCGGTTTTTCCTGAAATGCTGGCAACAAACGACGTGGGAGGAACAAAGTGTATGACACCCAGACTTTGCTGGACACCATGACCCCAGAATACATGTGACGAAGAACCAGGAGCAGCATTTAACATCGTCGACTATGGCGAAGAAGCGTTTCTCGAACAGCTGAATGATGAAGGTGACAGAGCAAGTTAGCATCAGCCTTCCATGCGTACACTGAATGAAAGGTTCCGTCCGGAACAGTGGATTTAGGCCGATTCATGAAGCCGGCAAAGGAAAGAACAAAGGCAAAAAAGCAAGCCAAAAGGAGGCAGCTTCAATGAATCAAGTCAGCGCAAGGCCTCAAGATCGGATTTTGAAAGCCGCCTGCCGAGCTGTCTTGGTTGCGCTTCGTTTGGGCATGGATTTTAAAGGAGCATGTAAACTGGAAACAAGATGAAACAAGCCGACAAGACCATATGTATGCTTGCAACCGATTGCAACTTACTTTTTCATCTCACCACCAGGACGGCACGACCCAACTGTGCCGAATTCAGAGTTCATCTGGAAGATCGTGCGATCAAGGACTTGCTAAGGGTAAGACTTTACTACGTTCGGTTCATAGTGGAGCAGAGTTGGCAAATGCAGTCACAAAGTGCATGGAATCAAATTTCCCGAGATCCACTCTCCAAAGCGGTCATTACAAGCTAACAGCCGAGGCAGAGATCCGAATCGCGCAAAGGAGCGTGATCGCATTCGACGGCTGAATGAGCACAAAGAGAAAAACATACGGTAGTGTTTGACAAGTTTGAACGCTTGAGCCACTAAAACATCTAAACACCACCAGGGTGATCATGCGTTCTTTCCATAGGCATGGAGGCCCAGGGAGCCTAGCGGTGGGCAGGGATCGGGACATCCGTGCCACGATCGTCATAGAACAATCAGGGATCATCACGAGCGGTCGGAGAAAGAAGAGTCAGTGAACTTTGCTGCCATTCGCAGTGTGTGTTTGTGTGTGCAATGTGCGTGTTGTAGATATGATATGTGCCATGCCATCTGCAGACACATCTATGTGACCTACTACATGGTTGACCAATGAAAGTCCACTACTGAAACGGTGGGCCAATCTGCTCTATATATAAAACCACGTGGCGACCCTGAGCATCCCCATACCACCTTGCACTTTTTCTGAACCGCATGGTCTTTGTTCGGAACTTCTGGCGCACCTCTTCTACAAAGAACTCCCTTTTTTAGCCCACTCGCTCGCCCCCCTCCCTACCATTAAGTAAGGGAGAGGGGTTGCTAGTACCTTACTTAAGCTACTAGGAACTGGACGCAACTACTTCATTTTGGTCTGTCAGTCCCGTTTGTGCCACGGCGCTACTTGAACGCAGCTCTGCAAGAAGCACAAGCGCGGTTGCAACCCCAATCAAGAAGCACATGCATAGAACACCTCCCAGCAAAACTGACCAAACAAACAATAGCAATGCCTGGACAATCCTGAAAATTAAAACATTGACCAATGTACAAAAAAACAACAGGGCAGCGGAAACGGCCGAGTTTCAGACAATGAACAAAACTGACAGTGTCTCGCCTCCCCGCACTCTCTGCGCTTGCATTGCGTCCAGTTTTTGCTGCCTCTTGCTTCTGGAAAAACAGCACTTCAGCCATCGGAAACTCAAGAAGCTCTTCAACAAACTGCCGCTCTGGCGGAGGCAATTGGACCAACCACCCCGGGCGCTGATGAGGACATGAAAGCTAAACATCCACAGCAGAGTCATGAGGAAGGCCTTGGATGCACTTGGAAGCAGTATGTAGGGTAGGCCCCGGCAAGGAAAACTCCAAAGTAGAGCTGTCCCAACAAACCCCTGGAAAAAAGTAATAAATAAAAAGAATGTGTAATGCCTAAAAAGGTCCGAGCGCTTTCATCGCGACCAAGCCGCAACAATCAGCATCTCATAAACAGCTGGATCTCGAAATCTAGACGCCAAGTCCGAGGCATCGAAGGTCTCATCCTCCACAATGTTGCCACCTTGCTCGACCAAATCACCTGACATGACATCCTGACTTCCAAGCAAACCCCGTTCCCTTTCGGCCACCTTATTCCATCCTGCCGACAGCCTATATCCTCATCGGAACCCCACTCGCAGACCCAAGTTGATTCGCCACAAGTTCTCTGGGAAATTCCTTGTGAGCCATGCAGAAGTGGACTTCATCAACCCAGCCCGGCCTGTGCACATGAAGTGTGATGAGGTCGCCACAGCACCACACAAGAAGTACTCAAGGGTTGCAATCACCCAAGTTGAGCCAAGACATAGCTGCGAGTTTGGCAGTAGGGACCGAGTTTGAAGAAAAGCCCACGTTGACTCAAACACTAAGCCAACAAGAACAACGGGAACGGATGAGGAGAAAACACTCCTCTCTACAAGCAGAGCACTCATGTTAGTCGAACCAATGTTGCGTTCCAATAGTGCATGTAGGCTGGTATCATTAATTACTTGGCTGGAAGTCTGTGGACGTTGGTTCGTCTACGCTGCCCTTTATGCGGCTCACCTTGGCAACAACAATGCGCCCCCCACTTCCTCGACGATTCGTATTTGTAATCGTTTGCTTCATTAATCTAACAGCTGCCAGTGCCGTGGTAGCGTGCACGAAGCCAGTGGCTTTTTAGCTACTTTCATCAAGTGTCTCTTTGCATGACACTCGGTGTTTTTTCTTGACGCCTGCCAGCGGAACCAAACAAATTCCTAAAAAGAATTGAACTGTTGAAGGAAACTCCACATGAAATCAAGCCCTCCATGGCTTACACTTTGGCTCACGCTCGGAGGCGCTACAGGCTTGAACATTTTGGAGAAGCACCGAACATCTCACTCAGAATGCTCTCACACACAATGAAAAGGATACAAAAACACTGTCTCGATGTGCACGCCAGGCAAACGCGACTTTTGAGATGCAAGTGCTCGGGTCGGGTAAAGATTTCGCGGCAAACGCGCGAATGTGCAATGTACCAAGACAGGGCACTTACTGCATCTGTTCACAAAACCTCAACCGTGAAGCCACCCAAACGCCAGTGTGTGAACGGAGAAGTGACAAAAAATCAAACGCCGCAAAAACTACAAAGGAATGCAAATGCTACCACACTAGGGGCTAAGTGAAGGAGAATGCAAATCAAATATACAAGGCCGAACGAATGCAAGTTGCTCTCGGTTCAAAGTGACCACCGCCCGCAAAGCCAATCACTGAAAACCGTGTTCAAACACTTTGTCCACAGACCTGTGAGCCCGAACATGGCCTTCACCAGAGGCTTCATGCTAGCAGCTGCTGCTGGCTCCGGATATCTCCAGTCATGCGGCGTTGATGCCATCATGTACCTCAGAAAAAAGGATCAATGATATCTGATCTGTAATTCTTGCACACCCCGAGCCCTACGAGAGCCTTCTCCAGTGAATGTTTAAGCAAGCCACTCAGGCTTGTAGATGCCAGCCCACTTTCTGAGGTATTCCTGAGAGGGCAGGAGCAGTTCATTCCAGCAATGGACTCGGCAAACGTTGCCAATTGCAGCCTTGAGGAACTTGAGGAGTGATGGGTTTGTGTTGTCTGTGTCTTTTGCTTGTCTTTTTAGCCCGCGGCCTGCCCCGCTACTACTCAATTAGGTGAGCGCTGACTGAATTATGTAAGTAAGGGCTAAGTTAGCGACGGTCTAGGTAGGACGCAGGACAGTTCACGCTCGCACTAATCATTTGTTCCCAGAAATTTGGGGGAACTCAAACCTCTGTCCTTGGCGCCATCCATGGTCTCATCCAAGCCTTCCTTCTTCAAGGCTTCGCAAATGGATGCCCAGTCGCCCTTCAAAAAGTTGTCAATTCGCAAAGCCTTGCCTCGGGCGCTTTAGGGTTGCTGCATGTATAAAATGTCTTCCGAGAAGAAGCGAAACAATAAGAGTTTCTGGGAACAAGTGCATCGCTACTAGGAGCAAGGGCCTTACTAGTAGTAACAAGAAGCTAGTAG